GACCTAGTGATCCATCTGCCTTGGCCTCCTAAAGTGCTGGGATTACAAGTGTGAGCCACCGTGCCCAGACTTTGTTTTTTTTTTTTTTTTTTTTTTTTTTTTTTTTGAGATGGAGTGTTGCTTTGTCACCCAGGCTGGAGTGCAGTGGCATGATCTCAGCTCAGTGCAGCCTTTACCTCCTGGGTTCAAGTGATTCTCCTGCCCCAGGCTCCTGAGTATCTGGGATTATAGGCACACGCCACCACAACTGGTTAATATTTGAATTTTTAGTAGAGAGGGTTTTACCATGTTTGCCAGACTGGTCTCGAACTGCTGACCTTGTGATCCGCTGGCTTCGGCCTCCCAGAGTGTTGAGATTACAGGCATCAGCCGCTGCACCCGGCCAGCTACACCAATTTAACATGCCCACCAGCAGTTTCAAGTTGTCCATATCTTCATCAATAGTTGTTATTGGCCGGGCGCGGTGGGTCACGCCTGTAATCCCAGCACTTTGGGAGGCTGAGGCGGGTGGATCACGAGGTCAAGAGATCGAGACCATCCTGGTCAACATGGTGAAACCCCGTCTCTACTAAAAATACAAAAATTAGCTGGGCATGGTGGCGTGTGCCTGTAATCCCAGCTACTCAGGAGGCTGAGGCAGGAGAATTACGTGAATCCAGGAGGCGGAGGCTGCGGTGAGCCAAGATCGCGCCATTGCACTCCAGCCTGGGTAACGAGAGCGAAACTCCGTCTCAAAAAAAAAAAAAAAAAATAGTTGTTATTGTCTATCTGTTTTAGTTAGAGCCTTTTAGGTATAAAGTGGCTTTGATTTGAATTTCCTTTATGACTAGTGATAATGAGCAACTTTTTATGTGCTTCTTGGCCATTTACGTATATTCTTTCTTTTGGGAGATGGAGTTTCACTCTTGTTGCCCAGGCTGTAGTGCAGTGGGTGATCTCGGCTCACTGCAACCCCTACCTCCTGGATTTAAGCAGTTCTTCTGTCTCAGCCTCTCAAGTAGCTGAGATTACGGGTGCCCACCATCACCATACTCAGCTAATTTCGTTATTTTTAGTAGAGACAGGGTTTCACCATGTTGGTAAGGCTGGTCTCAAACTCCTTACCTCAGGTGATTTGCCCACCTTCACCTCCCACAGAACTGGGATTACAGGTGTGAGCCGCCCTGTCTGGCCACATTTGCATATATTCTTTGAATAAATGTTTATTCACATCCTTTCCCATTTTTTTGTGTGCATGGTATGAGGAAGAGATCCACCTTCACTTTTTTGCATATGGATATGCAGTTGTTTCAGTATCATCTTTGGTTGTCTTTTGTCATGTGTTTGCTGTTATTAGATAGAAAGAGACCCTCATTCTCATTTTCTGACGCTTTTTTTTTTTAAAGTGACAAGTCACCCAGGCTGGAATACAGTGAGGTAATCATACCTCACTGCGATCTCCGCCTCCTGGGCTCAAGTGATTCTCTCACCTCAGCTTTTTGAGTAGCTGGGACCACAGATGCATGCCACCACGCCAGCTAACTTTTGTATTTTTGTGGAGATGGGGTTTCCCCATGTTGCACAGGCTGGTCTCAATTTCCTGGGCTCAAGCAATCCATCTGCCTTTACCTTCCAAAATGCTGGGATTACAGGCATGAGCCACTGTGCCTGGCTTCATTTTCTGCCTTCTTGTTTTCTACCTTTCTAATTCCTACCTGTGGTTAAGGTAATTTATATATGTGTCTGATGGTAAACTCTTGTTTTTAAAAAATTGCATACTATATATTACATCTTTTCATGCTGTTTTGCTCACATAACAATAACAATAACAACAGTAATAAGGCAGTAACTTCATCATTATCAGAAATGTGTCATCTAGGTTATGGTAATACTGCTCAGATTAAATTACTGGGATTCTGTTTATTTAAATGTCTTTCCCATTAAAACAAACATATGTTAAGTAAGCACTCTGAAGCAGCGGTCTCCAACCTTTTTTTGGCACCAGGACTTGTTTTGCAGAAGACAATTTTTCCGTAGATGTCGATGGGGGGCGATTTGGGATGAAACAGTTTGACCTCAGATCATCAGGCATTAGATTCTTTTTTTTGTTGTTTTTAAGGCATAAGCTTGCTCTGTCATCCAGGCTGTGATGCAGTGGCACTATTTCTGCTCACTGCAACTTCCGCCTTCTGGGTTTAAGCTATTCTCCTGCCTCAGCCACCCAAATAACTGGGATTATAGACACCCACCACCAGGTCCAGCTAATTTTTTGTAGTTTTAGTAGAGATGGGGTTTCATCATGTTGGCCGGGTTGGTCTTGAACTCCTCAGCCTCCCAAAGTACAGGGATTACAGGCATGAGCCACTGCGCCTGGCCAGGCATTAGATTCTAATAAGGAGCATGCAGCCTAGTTCCCTCACGTGTGCAGTTCACAATAGAGTTTTTGCTCCTACAAGACTCTAATGCCACTGATGCTCTGATAGGAGGTGGAGCTCTGGTGGTAATGTTCGCTTGCCACATACCTCTGTGCTGTGCGATTCCAACCACGGACCAGTACCAGTTCTTGGGCTCGGGACTGGGGAGGCTGGGTGTGGTGGCTCATGCCTGTAATCCTAGCACTTTGGGAGGCCAGGGCCGGCAGATCACCTGAGGTCAGGATTTCGAGACCAGGCTGGCCAACATGGTGGAACCATCTCTACTAAAAATACAAAAATTAGCTGGGTGTGGTGGTAGGCACCTGTAACCCCAACTACTTCAACCCAGGAGGCAGACATTGCAGTGAGCCGAGACTGCACCATATCACTCTAGCCTGGGCAACAAAAGCGAAACTCGGTCTCAAAAAAGTTTTTAAAAATGGCTGGGTGTGGTGGTTCACGTCTGTAATCCCAGCAGTTTGGGAGGCCAAGGTGGGCAGATCACGAGGTCAAGAGATCGAGACCATCCTGGCCAACATGATAAAACCCATCTCTACTAAAAATACAAAAATTAGCTGGTTGTGGTGGTGGGCAGCTGTAATCCCAGCTACTTGGGAGGCTGAGGCAGAATTGCTTGAACCTGGGAGGCAGAGGTTGTGGTGAGCTAAGATCTTGCCACTGCACTCCAGCCTGGTGACAGAGCAAGACTCCATCTCAAAAAAAAAAAAAAGCTGGGTGTGGTGGTGCACCTGTAGTCCTGTTTAACAGGCTGAGGTGGGAGGACCACTTGAGTTTGAAGTTAGAATGTGCCATTATCTTACCACAGTGCTCTAGCCTGGGCAACAAAGCAAGACCCTGTCTTTAGGAAAAAGAGACCGTGTGCAGTGGCTCACGCCTGTAATCCCAACACTTTGAGAGGCCAAGGTGGGTGGATCATCTCAGTCAGGAGTTCAAGACCAGCCTGGCTAAATGACAAAACCCCTTCTCTACTGAAAATACAAAAATTAGCTGGGCGTGGTGGTGGACTCCTGTAATCCTAGCTACTGGAGATGCTGAGGCAGGACAATCGCTTGGACCTGGGAGATGGAGGTTGCAGTGAGCCGAGATCGCATCATTGCACTCCAGCCTAGGTGACAAGAGTGAAACTCTGTTTCAAAAAACAATAAAAAACAAAAGGCTGGCTGTGGTGGTTTACGCCTGTAATCCCAGCACTTTTGGGAGGCCGAGGCGGGTGGATCATTTGAGGTCAAGAGTTCAAGATAAGCCTGGTCAACATGGCAAAACCCCGTCTCCACTAAAAATACAAAAATTAGCTGGATGTGGTGGTGCGTCTGTAATCCCAGATAATTCGGGAGGCTGACATTTCAAGAATTACTTGAACCTGGGAGGCGGCGGTTGTAGTGAGCTGAGATCATGCCACTGCATTCCAGCCTGGGTGACAGAGTGAGGGATCGTCTCAAAAAAAAAAAAAAAAAGTTTTGATACTTCCTTTTTGGACCCCAGTATGTCTGTAATCCCAGCTACTTGGGAGGCTGAGGCAGGAGAATTGCTTGAGAACCCAGGAGGCAAGGTTGCAGTGAGCTGAAATCGTGCGACTGCATTCCAGCCTGGGCAACAGAGCAAGAGTCCATCTCAAAAAAATTAAGAAGCCAGGCGCAGTGGTTCATGCTTGTAATCCCAGCACTTTGGGAGGCCCAGGCGGACAGATCACAAAGTCGAGAGTTTGAGACCAGCCTGTCCAACATAGTGAAACCCTGTTTCTACTAAAAATACAAAAAAATTAGCTGGGTGTGGTGGCATGAGTCTGCAGTCCCAGTTACTCAGGAGGCTGAGGTGGGAGAATTGCTTGATCCCAGGAGTCAGAGGTTGCAGTGAGCCAAGACTGCGCCATTCCACTCCAGCCTGTGTGACAGAGTAAGACTTCGTCTCAAAAAAGGCTGGAGTGCAACAGCGCGATCTCCCCTCACTGCAACCGCTGCTTCTCTGGATCAAGCAATTCTGCCTCAGCCTCCTGAGTAGCTGGTATTATAGTGCAAGCCACCATACCTAGCTAACTTTTTTGTATTTTCAGTAGAGACGGGGTTTTACCATGTTGGTCAGGCTGGTCTTGAACTCCTGATCTTGTGATCCACCGACCTTGGCCTCCCAAAGTGCTGGGATTACAGGCATGAGCCACCACTCCCAGCCCGCATTTTCTTACTAGACCCCAGCTTGTCTGTAATCTCAGCTATATGGGAGGCTGAGGCAGGAGAATCGCTAGAACTCGGGAGGTGGAGGTTGCAGCGAGCTGAGATCACGCCACTGCATTCCAGCCTGGGCAACAGAGCAAGTCTGTCTCAAAAAAACAACAAAAGTTTTTATATTTCCTTTTTAGACCCCAGTTAATCATTGTGCTTTCTCTCTGTGGTGGATATATGTCAATGTGATTGTAATGTGATGCTGGATAATTCTGCGTTTAGTTTTGCATATTGTGGCCTCCTCAAAAGCCTTGAGTGTGCCAGTGTTTTCTCACATTGCGCAGGGCCATTGTGTGGGATCTTTCTTTTCTTGGGTGCTGAACTTTCAGTGATGCCTGGTTCACTCACTGATGAATCTTGTCGCTTACAGGTCCAGGTGCAGGTACAGCAGTCTCCGCAACAGGTCTCGGCTCAGCAGCTCTCCCCACAACTCACTGTTCACCAGCCTACTGAGCAACCCATCCAGGTCCAGGTGCAGATCCAAGGCCAGGCACCACAGTCAGCAGCCCCCTCCATTCAGACCCCGTCTCTGCAGAGTCCCAGTCCCTCGCAGCTGCAAGCAGCTCAGATCCAGGTGCAGCACGTGCAAGCGGCCCAGCAGATCCAGGCTGCAGAAATCCCGGAGGAGCACATCCCACATCAGCAAATCCAGGCTCAGCTGGTGGCTGGCCAGTCTCTTGCTGGTGGTCAGCAGATCCAAATCCAGACCGTGGGTGCCCTTTCCCCACCACCATCCCAGCAGGGCTCACCCCGGGAAGGGGAGCGGCGGGTTGGCACAGCCAGTGTCCTCCAGCCAGTGAAGAAGCGCAAAGTGGACATGCCCATCACTGTGTCCTACGCCATCTCAGGGCAGCCGGTGGCTACCGTGCTGGCCATTCCACAGGGCCAGCAGCAGAGTTATGTGTCTTTGAGGCCAGACTTGCTGACAGTAGACAGTGCCCACCTGTACAGTGCCACTGGGACCATTACTAGCCCTACAGGAGAAACCTGGACCATCCCTGTTTATTCTGCCCAGCCCCGGGGGGACCCTCAGCAGCAGAGCATTACCCACATTGCCATTCCCCAGGAAGCCTACAACGCAGTTCATGTCAGTGGCTCACCCACGGCCCTGGCAGCTGTAAAGCTGGAGGATGACAAGGAGAAGATGGTGGGCACCACATCTGTAGTAAAAAACTCCCATGAAGAGGTAGTGCAGACCCTTGCAAACTCTCTCTTTCCAGCACAGTTCATGAATGGCAACATCCACATTCCAGTGGCTGTGCAGGCTGTGGCAGGCACGTACCAGAATACGGCTCAAACTGTCCATATATGGGACCCCCAACAGCAGCCGCAGCAGCAAACTCCCCAGGAACAGACGCCACCACCCCAGCAACAGCAGCAGCAGCTCCAAGTTACTTGTTCAGTAAGTGAAGACTTAACCAGGAGGACAGGCAGTCTGTTCCCTCAGGGCCCAGTTCAGCACAGAGCTTGCCTGGTAACCTCTGGCTTATTTACTGCTATTAGTTTTACAGTGATACAGTATTTAGTATTTGGGAGAAGAGGGTAAGAAACAGCATGTGAGGCTATGCAACAGGAGAAAGGTTTGTCCTGGTACCTGGAGGTAAATGAGATGGCCAGGAATTGCTTTGGAGTTTTGGGGAGGTTTGGGGTTTAGGTATTATGGACACTTCTTTAGTTTTTTTCTCAGGAAGAGTAAAGTTACAGGTATAGATGAATGGGACACCCCAAGTGTGTCCCAGGAGCTGCTTCCTTGTATCATAAGTAAATGGTTCTAGCAAAACACTTGTAGTTTATCACATAGATTACAAACTCATCATTGGAGAAGCTGTGAGATTGTTTATTCTGTTTTTCATCTTTGGACCCACAGCGTGGGTGAATTAGAAAATCTGAAATACCTCTTAATGAGCCTGTTAAAAGTGATCACCGTTGGGAGTCTTGAATATGCCACCTATGTGGTAGGACCTCCCGAGAGTGTTATTGTGTTGCTTGAAAATGGGCCAGGCACAGTGGCTCACACATGTAATCCTAGCACTTTGGGAGGCTGAGGTGGGCAAATCACCTGAGGTCAGGAGTTTGAGACCATCTTGGTCAACATGGTCAAACCCCATCTTTTCTAAAAATATAAAAATTAGCTGGGTGTGGTGGCATGCGCCTGTAATCCCAGCTACTCAGGAGGCTGAAACAGGAGAATTGCTTCAACCCGGGAGACGGAGATTGTGATGAGCCGAGGTTGGGGTGAGCCAAGATCGCACCACTGCACTCCAAACTGGGGCAACAGAGCAAGATTCTGTCTCAAAACAAAAACTATTAGTGTTGGGTTCTGTGGCAGTTGCCTATAATCCCAGCAGTTTGGGAGGCTAAGGTGGGAGGATTGCTTTAGCCCAGGAGTTTGAGACCAGCCTAGGTAATATAGGGAGACCCTATCTCTACAAAAAATTAAAAAATGTACTCCAGTGTGGTGGCATACACCTGTGGTCCCAGCTTAGATGGGAGGATTGCTTGAGCCTGGGAGGTTGAGGCTGCTATGGTCATGCCACTGCATTTCAGCCTGGAGGAAAGAGTGAGACCTTGTCTAAAAAAAACAATTGGTGAAATATCTGGTCCCATTAGAGTGGGATATAGGTCCTTTGGTCTTATGGGACTGATGAAGGTGGTGTACCTCAGTGGGCAAAGGCTCCTGGGAATGCATGTGTGGGAGCTGGCACAAACAAGTTAGATAAGGGACTAAGAAACATGGGCTCTAAGTGATTAAGCAAAGGTTGACCAGGTGGTTTCATAGGGGCAACATTTTATTATCCTAGGTGATACTGTTAAGGACCTGCTAAATATCTAGCTGTTGGTCCTAGAAATAGAACAAGACGAGTTTTGCATCATACAGCTAAGAGTCTTATGAAAGTCAAAACTTACGATTTCTATTCCTTTAAATTATTTATAAGGCAGAATACTTAATGACATACAAAGACAAACTGGGAATTTAGCAACTCTAGGTTAAAAAGGAAACAGCAGTGTCTTTGTGAACAAAATGGGGTTTGAACTGTAGTTAATTTATTTTTGAGACAAGAGTGTGGCTTTGTTTCCCACGTGGGAGTGTGGTAGTGATCATAATTCATGTAGCCTCAAACTCCTGGGCTGATAAAATCCTCCCACCTCAACCTCCCAAGTAGCTGGGACTATAGGCACACACTACCACACTTGGGATCAGGGGGGGGGTGCTGTGTGTGTGTGTGTGTGTGTGTGTGTGTGTGTGTGGTATGTATATATATATTTGTAGAGACAGAGTCTCACTATGTTGCCCAGGTACACACTACCACACTTGGGTGTGTGTGTGCGTGCGTGTGTGTGTGTGTGTGTGTGTGTGTGTGTGTGTATATATATATATATTTGTAGAGTCTCACTATGTTGCCCAGGCTGGTCTTGATCTCCTGGCCTCATGTGATCCTCCTGCCTTGGCCTTTCAGAGTGCTGGGATTACAGACATGAGCCACTGCACCCTGCGTTGAACTGGTGAACTGTAGTTTATAGTTGAGATAAATAAAAGAATGGAACAGCATAATTATGAAACCAAGGATAGACAGAAGGGACATGACATGGCCTAAGGCAACGTGAGAAGGGAACTGTGGGAATGGAGTTAGTATGGGGGGGGGTGCTGGAATGAGATTGTTGTCTTCCCAAATTAGAGTTCAGTTTGATCTAATCTGTGGTAGGAAGTCTGGAATTACCTAGATTTATGGTAATAGGAGGAATCAAGTAGCTGTGTGTAGAATTGACTCCGTATAGGAGAAACCAGCCAGTAGATATGTAATGGGTTCTCTATGCTCAGCTTTTGTTCAAAGAAATGGAGCCCGTTAGGCCTCCCCTAGCTCTTCTGGGCCTGATTGTCCAATTGCAAGTCAGGGCCTCATTTAGTACTTAATGGTCTCTGTTTATAATTTACATGTCTGGGTCCTCTAACAGAAGATCCTTTATGGACTTCATTTTAGTAGGCCAGTGTTCTTCATAGGCTGTATCTGATTTGGGAAAGTCTTATAATGATTAACATGAAGTATTATTACCAGAAATGGAAACATTGGGGAGGATCTCAATTTTCCGTCCCAAGGGAAAGATGAGTTTGTCTATATATACCGCAAACATCCCTCTGCCCTCCTGTGCAGACTCTATGCTAGGATCTGGGGAAAAGAGATGAATAAGACAGTCCACCCTTGGACCACTTTATGGTCACATGGGGAAGACAGTCGAGTTGAACCCTAAGGGGAGCTGGAGACAAAATGTGTGTTCCTTCATCTGTCACAGGTTGGAGAGGACCATACCTTTTATAAAAGCTCTCATAGGTCCTATCTTTAAACCAGATTTATGGTGAAATCTCACTTCCTCATACCCACCTCCATCTATTGCCCCATTTCTTTGTTCTACTTTATTCCCAGAACTCTCAAAAAGTATTATCTACACAAGCTGGGCTCCATGTGCTATAAAATTTTCCTTCCCTTTTCTTTTTCTTTTTTTTTTTTTTAAATGGAGTCTTGCTCTGTCACCCAGGCTGGAGTGCAGTGGCGCAGTCTTGGCTCACTGCATCCTCCGCCTCCCAGGTTCAAGCAGTTCTTTTGCGTTAGCCTCCCTAGTAGCTGAGACTACAGGTGCGCATCACCATGCCCGGCTCATTTTTGTATTTTTTTTAGTAGAGATAGGGTTTCATCATATTGGTCAGGTTGATCTCAAACTCCTGACCTCAGGTGAGTCACCCACATCGGCCTCCCAAAGTACTGGGATTACAGGCATGAGCCATCGTACCCGGCCAAATTTTCCTTTCACCTCATGACTAAATCTGTTCTTGTCAAGGTCAGCAGTGACCCCTCCTTCCCCAGCCAGTTTAGACCAGCAGGTAGGTTTTTAACCTATAGCAACACACAACATAGCAGCCTGTTATTGATACTCTTTTCTTTAGACTTCCATGTTATTACACATTCCTGATTTTTCTCCTACCAATGTGATTCTTCTTTCTTCTCAGGAGCCTTACTGGTGCCTTCTCCTCCTCTCCCTGAATCGTACATGTTCATGTTCCTCAGGGTTCAGTACTTGGCTCTCTTCTCCCTAAGGGATTTCTTTCCATTGCCATGGTTTTCAGCATCCTCTAGATGATTCTTGCTGCTGCTGAAGATGATAATCACTGATACTATCCGCCAGTACTGTTCATGTTTAACATTTTCTTCTAATTTTCACATTAACCTTATGAAGGGTGTACTAATAGCTCCATTTTACAGATGAAGAAACTCAGAGATTAAGTGAGAAGGCCACAGACACACTTAAAAAGTGACAGAATTGGCTGGGTATGGTGGCTCACGCCTGTAGTCCCAGGACTTTGGGAGGCCGAGGCAGGCAGATCACAAGGTCAGGAGTTCAAGACCACACTGGCCATTATGGTGAAACCCTATCTCTACTAAGAAATACAAAAATTGCCGGGCGCGGTGGCTCAAGCCTGTAATCCCAGCACTTTGGGAGGCCGAGGCAGGTGGATCACGAGGTCAAGAGATCGAGACCATCCTGGTCAACATGGTGAAACCTCGTCTCTACTAAAAATACAAAACATTAGCTGGGCATGGTGGCACGTGCCTGTAATCCCAGCTACTCAGGAGGTTGAGGCAGGAGAATTGCCTGAACCCAGGAGGCGGAGGTTGCAGTGAGCCGAGATCATGCCATTGCACTCCAGCCTGGGTAACGAGCGAAACTCCATCTCAAAAAAAAAAAAAAAAGAAAA